GCACTTGGCCTTTCTGTTATTCTGTTATTCAGGCTGTTGTGGCAAACTGGGGGCAGCTTTTTGGAGTGGAAGGACTGCTCTGATTCCTAAATATATTTAAGAAAGCTAACGTTCTGTTCTTCCATCTTCAGTATGAGATGTACACGATCGAGAGGAATGCTGAAAGGACAGCGTCTGCGGGCAGGCTGCTCTATGACATGTAAGTAATCAGAGCTGGGACTCTACAGTAATTATCCCAGGTGCTTGTCAGAGTTTCAGAAAATATCATGTGAGTGTTCTTGGAAATCTGCGTGGATAAATTAAGCAGAAAAGATCTTAATAATTTAAAACAAACAGTAAAAAGGAAGGTTTTGTTTTTTCCATTTGCCCGTGCACATTCTTTCATAGGAAGGTTTTATCTCGGAAACAGATTTTGAGATGTCTGTGCATTCCTTGCCTCAAACTTTATTACAGGTTTGTGAATTTTCCTGACCAACCTGCTGTGTGGAGGGAGATTAGCGTTATTACGTCAGCATTAAGGAATGACTCGGAGGACAAGCAGACGCAGTTTTTAAGAGGTAAGGGTTCTGTGTGGTGGATAGGGAGAGTCCTTATCTAAAGATAAGCCCTCAGGTTGCGTATCTATTGTGGCAAGTCCATGTCAGTCTTTTTAACTTTGCTTGTGGGTTGCAGATCTTTTTGTTCAGCCTTAGAAGCTTCATTCATTGTGCTAGGCTTAGGAAGCACAAAGGGACATGAGGAGCTGATTGCTGTTGCTCTATCTCTGATATGGATAGACTAAGTCTGCCTGAACAAACAAGCACTTGGAAAAGAGATTACATAGGCAATAAGTGGAATGGGACTTGCAACTCATTGTCCCACTGATTGCAGAGAGCAGTGAGTGATGGTAGAAATGGGGTGAATTTGTATATATGAAGTGAGGGTTGTGAAAACGAACAGTGACCAGAAGGGCCTGGTGTTTGCTGCTGGCAACTACAGGTGGTTTTGAAAGCAGGTTTTACACCTGACGAGTTACAACCTGCTGTTTGAATATGTGCCTCAGAAGCTCTAAAGATAAGCAGTGTGTAACTCTGGATGCAGGCTATTCCAATAGGAAACATTTAGGTTTTTATGGGGTGTGTTTGATTTTGAGAATACATAAAACTTACAGGGAGGATACGTGGGTTTCTTTTCAGTGTCTCACTGGAAATGTAAATTGAAAAACGCTACCTTTTAATAATGAAAGTATTAATTGTAGAAGTGTATAAGTAAAGAAAGAAATGAACGTTCTTGCAAAAGCATCTTGAATTGTCAAGCATTTAAGTATTAGGATTTTCAGTATTCCACTCATTAGCAGGCTTGCTTGTCAATTCAAGTTCTGTGCACCCTAATAAACACATGAATGAATATTCATAGGGTTTTCACTGAAAGAAATGGCTGTTTTTTTCCAGGCATAGATACTAAAAGCAGTATAAGGACATCTCCTTCACTCTGCATGGCAAGGGGACATTGACTGGGCTTCTACCCTTTGTCAGTCACCTTCACAATTCAGGTGTAGCAAGTTAAACATTTCAATTTGGTTTTTCAGGACTATTTGAAACCCTTCCTGGTCGGATCCAATGTGAAATGTTACTGAAAGCCACGGAGCAGTGTTTTAACACAATTGAAAGGGCAGAAATGCTGCTGCTACTGCTGCGACGTTTCCCAGAGACTGTGGTGCAACATGGGGTAAGAAAAGAGAAACTCATAGTAACTGTTTGGGGTATTGATGTTGTGTTTCTTGAGATTTTGCTGAAATGTGTTTTCCTTTGCCTAGAGAGGGTGAGTCGTTGTGTTTAATTGTGACTGGTAGTTCAGATTGCTGAATATCGTGAGGTTACCACCAGGAAAGAATTGGGCAGAAATCAAATGGAAGCAAATGGGACAGGTTGCCCAGAGAAGCTGTGGATGCCCCATCTCTGGAAGTGTCCAAGGCCAGGCTGGATGAGGCTTGGAGCAACCTGGTCTAGTGGAAGGTGTCCCTGCCCATGGCAGGGGGTGGGACTGGATGGTCTTTAAGGTCCCTTCCAACCCAAACCGTTCTGTGATTCTGTGAAATAAAACCAATTCTTTGTTTTGTAAATGCAAAGAATATTTCATGCTTTTTCAAAGAGCAGAATAGCCCAAAAAAGAGTGTGGAGGAGTATTATAGTCTAAGAAAGAGTATTGCTTCAGCTCTTGTCACTGAGGGCAAAGAGCTTTGAGGTTATAGCTAGATTCTAACAAGCAGCATGTTTGCTTTGGCTTACATAACTACAGGTGGACCCCTTTAATGATCACCTGCTTTGTTTAAGGACAGTTTAAATCTAGCTTAAAAATAGTTCAAAGACTATAAAACCCGCTAGTCTGCGGCTGACTTACTCCAACACATTCTAGCTCGTACTGGTGTTGAGCGGAGTGCGGCGTCAATTACTGCAGCTCAGGTGACAAGCTGCAGCTTCAGTGCCTGCTACCTTTATCGCTTTCACCCGTCTGCGCACGTCTTTACTGCTGCAGTCACACCTACAGCGTTTCTCTTGGCCTTGTTTTGCTGTCTTCAGGCCTTGCTTTTCACCTGTTGTTACGTAGGGATAGTTTAACTATATATTTAGTGTCTAGCACACGCAATTGCCATGTAGTGACTTGATACTCACGCATCCACTGAATTATTGTTCAACTCCATTGAATCGCTGTTCAAAAAGTTTCTAAACCCCCTGGTCCAGCATTTGATTTTCACCTCTGCTTACACAGGTAGGCCTTGGAGAAACGCTGTTAGACGCTGAAAGTATTGAAGAGCAAGAATCCCCGGTGAATTGTTTTAGAAAGTTATTTGGTAAGAAAATCTTCATGTTCTTGGTTTGTTATACAGATTTTCAGTATGGCAGGAGTGAATTCAGTGAATTACTTAATTAAGATTAGCAGACCGCTTTAATCTTTCAGCTTTCTTTTTTTCTTTTTCTTTTTTCTTTTTCTTTTCTTTCTTTTTTTTCTTTTTTCTTTCTTTTAATCTTTAATCTTTCAGCATTCCAGTATCTGAAGGGGGCCTACAAGGGTGCTGGGAGAGGACTTTTTACAAGAGCTTGTAGTGATAGGACAAGGGGTAATGGGTACAAATTGAAATCAGGGAGGTTTAGATTAGATGTCAGGAAGAAATTCTTCACAGAGAGGGTGGTGAGGCACTGGGACAGGTTGCCCAGAGATGTTGTGGATGTCCCATCCCTGGATGTCTTCAAGGCCAGGCTGGATGAGGCTTGGAGCAACCTGGTCTAGTGGAAGGTGTCCCTGCCCATGGCAGGGGGGTTGGGACTGGATGGTCTTTAAGGTCCCTTCCAACCCAAACCATTCTGTGATTCTATGATTCTATTCTATAATCAGAAGAGGCTCAGGCCATATTAGGCCAGGCTGACTATATAGCCAGAGGTGGAGGCTCACGTTGCTGGTTAATAAAACTTATGTAGGACAAACAGAACAAAAAACCACGCAAACCTAAATGTTTTCTTGGTTTGTTTCTTATTTCAGTTTGTGACGTTCTTCCTCTAATAATTAACAACCCCGATGTTCGACTTCCTGCCAGCTTGTTATATAAATACCTGAATAAAGCAGCTGAATTTTATATTAACTATGTAACTAGATCTACACAGACAGAAAGCCAGTATCAAGGTAAGAATATTTTTACAAAATTAACCTTTCTTAGATTGTGTTTAAGTATTACTGAAGTGATGTACATAGGGGATGAATGCATTACTTTAATGTATCCTGTAGATAAGAATTTGATCATAGAATCATAGAAGGGTTTGGGTTGGAAGGGACCTTAAAGATCATCCAGTTCTAAGCCCCCTGCCACAGGCAGGGACACCTTCCACTAGACCGGGTTGCTCCAAGCCTCGTCCAGCCTGGCCTTGAACACTTCCAGGGATGGGGCATCCATTGATGTTTCTTGGTTCTTTGAAACCAAAATGCCTCATGATGTTTCATCTACTTAGTCGTGATGCTTCAACATACGTACTGAGAGGTAGGACAAAATGTCCAAGATCTCCTTGTCCAGCCTTTCAGCTTTCTTGTACGGGGAGGCCTAAATGCCTGCTGCTCCGTTGGCCTTCTCAGTAGAGAACGGTTACCCTGAAAGCTCCGATGTACGTTTTTACATGTCTCCTTCCTGAAAATCATAGAATCATAAATCGGTTGGTTTGATTTCTTTATGAAGAGAAAAATGTGCTGGTTTTCCCAGGTTCCCAAGATTCCTCTGATATTATGTCTCCAAGCAAGCGTAACTCTCAGAAATATGTAATAGATGGTCTCACAGAGAAATCATCCCAGATTACAGATCCTTGGGAGAGGCTGTTTAAAATACTGTCTGTGGTGGGAATGAGGTGTGAATGGCAAATGGATAAGGGAAGAAGGTGAGAAATGTGTGCTTTTCGGGGTATTTCTTCTCAAGGAGAATTTGGATCTTCAATTCTTAAGGGGATGGGTTGAAGGATTTTACCACGAGGACATTTTGTGTAAATTCAGTGCAGCTTTTCTTTCAAGCCTCTACAGTGTAAAGCAAAAACGTGGATCCGCTTTCAAATTAGTTTCTGCATTGAGTCTTTGTTGATAAAAGTTGTTCGTAAGGGCTGTAGCGCTGGGGTATCCTTCCCTAGGTGCCTCAGCAAGGAGAAATAGGGTAAATGTTCAGTGACGTTTCACTGGTGTGCATTCCCAGCCTCCACTGCATTGCAGCTTGGAGATTTCCTCAGCCAAACCGCTACGTTGTTCATAGTCCTCATGCTTTCGTGCCTTTAGTTTTGGAGTCTGTGTAACATCCTGAATTCTTTCTGTCTCTCTTTTTCAGAAGTTTCGGTGATATTTTGCATCGAATGAAAGACCTCTGCCGGTACATCAGTAACTTTGATAGTGACGCGCATGCTAAATACAAGAATCAAGTAGTGTATTCCACGATGTTGGTCTTCTTTAAAAACGCATTCCAGTACGTCAGCAACATCCAGCCATCGCTCTTTCAAGGTTAGTTTCGAAGGTTTCAGCTTTTGTAGAGAGTTCTCTGTGATTTCATTGCTGATGTGTGAAAGATCTCTTCTCATTAGCGTTTTGAAAGTATCGCATTACGAAGTGAGGTGGGTCTTCTTAAAAATTCTCCTGAGCCAGTAGTCTTACCAGCAGAAGTAGTTCTGAAACTGAGCTCAGAAGACAAATGACATGGCAACTTCTGTGTGAGGAACATGTAGTCAGTCACTTGAACAAATACAGGGACTGAGTTGAGTTTCCTTGCTCTATCCAAAGGAGAGAAGAGTTATGGAGGGGCAGTGATGTACGTCAGCTGTGCACAGGTTTAGCTGCTTGGCTCTGAGTTGAGGAATGAAGAAAAGCACCGGTGAAAATACTTTCTAAAACTTGAGTAGGTTAAAGCTCATCTTTTCAGACTAAAACACCAAAAACCCCCCATATACTGAGCAGAGCACATTCCCTTCAGTGCAGCATTTCGGCTACCCTCTGTCATTTCCTGTCATCAGGAAAATATTTCCAAGACATCTTTTACTCATTTCTGCTTTAGTATTACAGTCTGGTGGTATTCAGTGCCTTTCGTATCCCTTCTGTCATTGGGGATTTTCCTCCTTCTCTTTGGAGGGCTCACTGTAGAAATGTAGAATCTGTCTCCTTAATCCAGTAGCTTTGATCTGTGACTTTCACATGCCTGGACTTGCGGGAAGCCTCTTGAGAGAACGCTTTTCAATGCACTTCTCTTACATAATTCATATCCGCCTTGTTGGAGACTCCAGAAATGAATGAGGCAATTCACACCTCTCCTAGCTTTCAGGCTGCCTGCAGGCTTGGCAGGACTTGCTATTTGGGCTGATGCTTTTAGGGGTTTATTTATAGCCCTCTGTGCTAGAAATCAATTAAAAACTCTATAAGCTTAGATTCTAGAGCTTGGTTAGACAGAAAACCACAACCTTGCACTTTGCATGGCTGCGTAACTTTCAGTAATAAGAAGGTTTGCAGCCCAAGTCAAGGGTGAGGTTAGGTTTTGGGTTGGTTTAGGACTGAAGGTTCTGGAATAAAGGTACTGGAAAGAGAACATTTCTTTGGAAAGCAAAGCACGCAACTAGTGTTCATTCAAATATTTTCAGTATAAGAAAAACCCAATCTTTTTCTCTCAAGTGTTAGAAATAGGCAGCTCTTGAGATTCTCATGATAAAAGTCTTCCAGTATCCCAGTTGTAGTGCTTCCGTGTTTCTCGTGGACGCTATTTTCTACATTAGAACCAACCATATCCTGGGCTGCATCAGGAGAAGTGTGGCCAGCAGGGCGAGGGACGGGGTTG